GGTTTCGACCATAACTGCTGCTCTTCTCTCTTTCAGATCTTCCTTTATCGCTTCTCTGCATAGCTTCGCAAGTTCGGACGTTTGTTGATAATTGCCTGTAGCTGGCGCGATTCCACGTTGGCGTATCAGCTCGAAGGTCTCCGAAGAGAGCCGTCTCTTGGCTACTTGTAGACTCTCTGCTCTCCTAGCACTATCGTGGAGATGTTTGACGCCGGTTGTATTCTTCATCGATGTTGTCCGGTAATGGAATTTTCCCATTGACCTGCAAATGAAGCGAAGTGGAAATTGGAATTGGGTGGAAATTTTAGGAAAGAGCACCGGAGAAGCGATATATCCGTTTTGCTTAAGATAGTAGGTAAGTGGGTTGGCGGCTCCTTTGTGATGGCGGGGATCAGCCACTCCAAAAACAGACGGATGGAGAGCACCAAGGCAAATACGTTAGCTAAGGTGAATCATAAACTAAGAGAAGGTGCAGAAATGTGAAATCTTCCAAACAAGAGAACTGCGGAATTCTGTGAGGCTGCTGCCATACTTACGGCGCACCCTGCAAAGGTACCGCGAACTAAGTAGAATAAATTTTCCGTGTATATTAAATAAGGGATATCCGATGTTGCTGCTTGAATGTCGTACTACTTATCATGCTCTTAGTCCTTAACGATTTCGTGAAGCGTCATAGCATCCTCCAATCGACTATGAAGCAGACGATTTGAACTAGTCCATGGCTCGATCTTCACCGATACCTCTTAATATTCGGTAGACGGCATTGTCATTACGGCGAAAAAATTGAGCGTGCCCGTAATTTGGAGACGAAATATTGTGTCTTTCACTATGTAAAAGAAACCGCATGTGTCTAGTGAGAATTCGGCGATGTAACTTTGTTTCTAGCAGCCAGAACTTGTAAAAAAAACATGAAAAACTAACTTTCGAAACTCAGTGCTGGGGTTATTAAAAGAGATTGGGTGTTTTGAGCTGTTCATCTGACGAGTATAGCGGTATGCGGTGGGCTGTCGATATCATCGGTGAACTCGAGAAGCCTGAAACGGGGGTTGCACGCGTGGAACCATCAAAGTAGAGGGGATGGAAAACCTCTGTGATTTCGACTCAGACTGAATTTCTGTAGACAACTTGCTAAAGAAATAAGATTGTTCGAGGCCTATGGCAAAACATGGTAACGATGTCGCGGAAAAGATTTTTTCGTACAAGATTATACCCAAAATCATTTCCATTATTACGGCCCCACGCTTTCACATATCGCCCGCCATCTTTGTTTGAGATGATCTTCAATTTTATTTTATATTTGTTCTTCTCTGTAGTGAATCTTGCTCGCTTACTGCCTTTCACTGCGCTCTTGATGGCATTTGTCATGTTTTTTTATCAGTGTTTGATGAATTCCACTATATCTATTTAGGTTCCACTTGCCAGTGCTGCTGTCGAAGACGATTCTTCTACAGAAGTACCTGCAGGGTCGTCTGTCGAGTTCCATAAACTTGTTCAAGAAGTTCTTGAGACAACTACAGCTGCAGAACTACTTCTCAGTGAAGAGTCCAGTGATGTCGAAGTGCTAATGAAAGCCAGAGAAAATCTCAAATCTCAAGATGCAGTTTTGGCCGAGCTTTCCGATGTCGCTACCGCAAAAGCTCAATTGGGTAATTGTACAGACTTAGATGCCGTGAGCTCCCTGAGTGAGCAATTCAATGCAGTGCTCTGCGCCCTTGAGGACCGCATCGACGAATTAGTCTCGGAGGTAAAGCTTAAATAGTCTCCTTCTACTCATTGCGATTTGTTTTGTACTTCAGTTCGCCTCAACCGAGGCTGCTTAAACCAGGGAAACTGATTTGACTTTTACAAATTTTAGAAGTAGATCGATCTGTAATAAGACATTTTCTTCAGGCCTCCATATATTGTTTTGCGACGTACAGAACATCAAGCGAAGTAGTGCAAGCCTTTATATGTTAGCATTTGTTCTCTAGAAAATACTAGCTATAAAAAATTCACAAACTAAAGGAGACGTGATCACTCGATCAGCTCATCAGAATCAGATTACATCCCACAGTACTCGAAAAAGGTTGAGGAACTGCTGTGTTAGGTGCGTTCGGACACACATTGCTCACCACCCAACACGAAATGGGTATGCGCAATTATATGGATTTCTTACATGAAATGTTCATGTAGGTTGACCTACATAAAAACAAAACGTTGGAAACAGACAAAGCGCGACTCTAAGCAAAGAATTCCTGAGGATTAGGTAGTTTTTAAGATAAGTTTAACATATGCTACATATAAGACATCCTGGAATTATTTTTTCTAAACTCATCGAGCAGTGGATGTAATGAGATCGCCGATTCCCACAGAAAAAACTCAGAAGAGTAGCATCTTTTCGTACTTGGATGGAAGGTACCATCAGTTTCTTCATTCAGACTGGTGTGCAAAGGCATCAGTTTAGCAAGTCACGGGTCTAAAAGGCGCCGCATAAACATGGTTAAAGGCTTAGTTCACGATAATTTTGGGTAATACAGATTATGATGAAAAATGGAAGACAAGATCGAAACTAGTGCGACTGAGGTGAAGAAACTGTGTGCATCGGTGTTTCCAAAGTGAAAAAAGGCTCCGAAAAACCGTTAAAAAGGGGGCCGGACGAGAATGAAACCAGAAAAATGAAGAGGAGTGGGGCGCCTGGACGAGCTAAACAGTGTGTTTCACTGCGCGCGGTGGGTCCTGGTGCGAAAACAGACAATGGTAAGCAAAAATTCATTCACTTATAATCATAAATAAACAAGAAAAAACCATAGCAACAGCAGGAAGAACTCGGTAACCTTTTTTATCGTGAACCGTGCCTTTAAACCTCATGCATTCAAAACAATCTCATATTCAGTTCGGCTGGTTGACACAAAAGCGTAAGCAACATTGCTATTGATAAAATATGCTTGTGTTGAAAAAGAAGAAAAAGATTTGAGTAGAATTAAGTTAGATTTAGTCATCAACTCAATAAAAAAGTTGCAGTAGATTCATTTTTAGAAGGAACTAGTTTGGATTTCGTATGTTCACAGTTTGTATTACAGGAAATCGTACAACATACGCCGGGAACCTTACTCACGGAAGATGCGAGTATAATCAGCGATCATCCCGTAGCCCAAGTGGGGCAGCCTTCGAGTGCCACATCGCATGATATCCATCCAGAAGAGTTATCCGAAGTTTTGGTCTCTCAGCTAATTTCCGAAAGCCCCATTACTGCAACCGAAAGTGCATTGCTGCGTGATGCACAAGAATCTGCTGAGAAAGACGAACAGGATCGCTTTATTGAATTATTGAAAGTCGAATTATCCGCATTACAATCGATTCCGCTTCGTGAACTCTCCGATAAATCATTGGATGAGATCGAGAAACAGATTCATATTTTGCCGGATGAGGACGCATTACCACTTCAGAAGCAGATCGACGATATGCGTAATTCCAAGAAGCAACATGATGATAATCTACGGCAGGCACAAGATCAATTGGCTATGGTAGAAGAAGCCCTTGCCACACTTCCGTCTACGCGTGATATTACGACACTTGAAGCCAATCTCGGACATATGAGAGACGCTCGTGATAGGTTAGCAACTATACCATCGGATCTATTGGCTGAAAAGGATATTGCTGATAGAGTTGAAAACCTACGAAATAACATCGACGAATCAACGAAACGTGATGAAGATGAATTGCAAAAGTTGCTAATTGATCGTGATACTCGCAACAACGTCATCGAATCATTAGAACAAATTCAACGTGAAGTGGAAGAATTGGAGAACAGTCTACCAATAGCAATGCCATCTTCATCAGATTTAATTGATTTCCAACAATCCAAAACACCAAAACTACTCTCAAAGCTTTACGCAATTTCTGATGTTCCCGTCGATTTGCTACCAAAGAAAGAAGATCTTTCAAACAGAGTAGATGTTATAAACAAGAAATTGGATGATCAAGTTAATGAAATGAAGAATTTCGAACAGAAGACTGTTGATTTGCAAAACGTAATTGATGAATGCCGTGGTAAGCTGAAAATTCGTGATAGTCCTGCTCCTATCGATGTTGTTACCAAGGATGAACAAGATATGTCAGCAATTTTGGCTGCAATTGACTCCATTCCACAGGAAGATCTTTCGCCAAGGAATCAAATGGCTCGAGATGTGAACAACATCAAGGAACAAGTGAAGGTGATTTTTTTCTCAGATACATTCATTTTTTTTGCTTCTATCATTTCCATTTGCAAATTTTTCCATTCACAATTTTTATTTAGTGTCATACTTTGCAGGAACAATTGGCAACACTACGGAAAGTTTTACCGGATGAAATGAAAGCACGTCAACAAGAAAATGAACTCAAGGATCGTCTATCAAACATTGCTGACACATTAACAAAGATCGATCCACAGAATATGGATTCTGCAAAGCAGCAAATAACATCAATTGATGCTGAATTGCAGAAATTGAGCGGTGTCGCGGATGGATGTCATCAATTTGCCACCAGCTTACCAACAGTCGTAACTCATGATGATCTCGATAAAACACTTCCCGAACAGGTACAGAAGTTGCAGAAGGAATGTGATGAGAAGAAAAAGGATATCGAACAGATTGCGCAATTGAATGAAGTTGCACCTGAAATTCTTCTTATCTCTGAGAGTCTGCAAAAACAACCAGAAGAGATCCCGCACAATCTCACTGATCAGCAGTCAGTGCTTGAAGAGCTCGAGACAAAGAAGCAACGTCTCGAAAATCTAATGCAAACGATCCCCGCTGGCGAGGCAACGGAAGAACTACGGCAGAGAAGTGCTTGGGATTTGTCGAAATTGAAAGATCTTTTGAAAAGGCTTGGTGATTCAGTTGGAGATAAGCTAGCCGCATTGACTGCATTCAATGTTGCACGCAAAGATGCTGAAGATCAATTGTTGCTGATTACTAGTCCAGAGACCGAAGACAGAACACCTGAAGATCTCAAAAAGGACGAAGATTCACTTCAAAGGCTTCAGCAAAGTATTTCTCAACTTGACAGTAATGAACTCGATGATGAACAACGCGACGAACATGCACAACTACTTGATCGTATCAATAAGACGCTAGCCATCATAAAGGTACATTATATGGTTGATAATTCAGGTTACCAATTCAATTATTTCATGACTAAAGTTTCCTAACTGATTAACCGATTGATTCAATTCCATTTTTAAGTGTGGACCGTATGGTGTACCATATGGATGGGAGTGGAATAGTTATTTTCTTCATATCATATTAAATTTACATCTACTTATTATTTTATAAATGGATCAGATTATTTAAATGAATGAAACAAACGGTGTATTATAGAATTAGGGAATGCTTAAATTGAAAATAAATTCACTGGATATTTTGTAAGTTAAATTCAAAACTTAAATATTTCAGTGTGAATGATGGAAGCGAGTTTTTGAAGAAATTTGCTCGATTTCTAGAACTTTTAGAAATATTGGGCTATTATTTGATTGTTGTGAGCATATAATGATTTCAGCAACGTCGAAACGATCTAGAAGCAGAAATCGCTCAACGCACGGCTGATGAAGCGATTAGGGATAGAATTAATCCGGTGTCAAGTCGCCTCGTTCAACTTGTCAATGATGCTGATCGCTTGTTAGGAGATCCCGAGGGGGTACCAGCACAATATAGACCGAGTGCTGAAGAATTGAGCAGTGAATGCAAAAAAGCTGTTGAACTGTTACGGGACGCTCCTAAGTCTCATCCATCCGTGGAATCTCTTGAAAGTGCACTCGCTACTGCTGAAAACATGATTCCAGTTTTAGAAGAACGTGCGAATAACTGGGATGAATTTGTAAGAGTAAGGGATGAAGCGGATGTTGAATTGGATAAATTGAGGCAGCCACTCGATGAAGTACTGGCGAAGCCACGAAGAACAATTAATGATGCAAAGCATGACTTTGACATCATTTCTGGTGAACGTCAAAAATCTCATATACTTGACGGTAAAGTTCGTCGACTTCAAGAACTGTCGGAACTGCTTGATCCACTTGACAGTGCATACGCCGACGTTCGTTTCATCGACGTTGACGCAGAACAGACTGTACAACAGTACGATGATGTGCTGAATGAGTTGTCAAGTGAAATCGAAGACGAAAGCTTACTATGCGATTCTGTCGATCATTTCATTACTGAAATGAATGCTATTTGTGAATCTCTTGCAAAAAAACCAACAAAGGAGACTATCGAAAACATTGAACAGTTCCAAATACCAGCATTACGAGCACAACTTGCGACACTACAACAGAAACATGATGATGCCATTCACGGTCGTAAGCATGTTGATCCAGACTCATCACGTTTATCAATTTTGAATGATCGTATGAGTTCGTTGGATGCATTACTTCGTGACGCAATAGCAACGGTGGAGAGGAACGAAAAGGATCGTCTTATGGATTCGTTACAGGCCCAGATATCGTCCTTACAACTGGTTCCTCTTGGTGAGGTATCCGAGCAATCGTTGGTTGACATCGAAGAACAAATCCATATCCTACCAAATGAGAGTGCAGAGCCGCTTCAAAAACAGATTGATGATATTCGGAATTCCAAGAAAGAACATGACGATAGCCTAAAGCACACACAAGATCAACTGGCCGCGATTGAGGAAACTATTGCTTCACTCCCATCTACGCGTGATATCCCCACCCTAGAAACGAACATCGAGCGTCTGGGAGAAGCTCGTGACAGCTTGGCGGCTCTTTCTCCGCGTCACCTCTCTGAGGAGACTGTTCAGAGCAGAGTTGCGAATATTAGAGAGTCCATTGACTGTCTAACGAAACAAAGTAATGAAGATTTACGTGCATTGCTAGCTGAAAGAGACAGCCGCATCAGTATCATCGAATCTATGGAGCAGATCCAGCGCGATGTGGAAGAGTTGGAGAACGTTCTGCCAGTAGCGCTGCCGTCTTCTTCGGAGTTGCTTGACTTCCAACAGTCGAGAATACCAACCCTACTTCTGAAGCTTAACGAGATTTCTAACGTGCCTGTCGATTTACTGCCGAAAAAAGAAGATCTTTCAAACAGAATAGATATCATAAACAAAAAATTGGATGATCAAGTTTATGAGACGAGGAATTTCGAACAAAAGTCTTCCGACTTGCAAAACGTAATTGATGAATGCCGTAGCAAACTAAAAATCCGAGATGGTCCTGCTGCTATTGGTGTTGTGACCAAGGATGAGCAGGATTTGTCAGCAGTCCTTTCTGCATTGGACTCCATTCCACAGGATGATCTCGCTCCAAGGAATCAATTGGCTCGAGATGTCAGCAACATAAAGGAACAAGTGAAGGTAATATTCCAGGAAAATTTTATTTTTTGTTCTTGCTATTAAAGGAAATTTTCTGTTCTACAGAGATCATCAGAGCTAAGAAGATCGTGAATTTCAGGGACAGTTGGCAACGATACGGAAAGCTTTACCGGATGAAATTAGAGCACGTCAACAAGAAAATGAACTCAAGGATCGTTTGTCGAACATTGCTCACGCCTTAACAACGATCGATACAGAGAACCTGGATTATGCAAAGCAACAAATTTTGTCAATTGATGCTGAATTGCAGAAATTGAGCGGTGTCGCGGATGGATGTCATCAATTTGCCACCAGTTTACCAACAGTCGTAAGTCATGACGATCTCGCTAAGACCCTACCCGAACAAGTAGAGAAGTTGCAGAAGGAGTGTGATGAGAAGAAAAAGGATATCGAACAGCTTGCGCAATTGAATGCAGTCGCACCCGAAATTCTTTTCATCTCCGAGAGCCTTCAACAACATCTGGAAGAGGACATACCGCACAACCTCAGTGATCAACAGTCAGTGCTTGAGGAGCTTGAGACAAAGAAGAATCGTCTCGAAAATCTAATGCAAACGATCCCCGCTAACGATGCAACAGAAGAACTACGTCAGAGAAGTGCTTGGGATCTTTCGAAACTGAGAGATCTATTGAGAAGGCTTGGTGATTCAGTTGGAGATAAACTTGCTGCATTAGCTGCATTCAATGTTGCACGTAAAGATGCTGAAGATCAACTTTCCGTGATTGATGGTCGCGGGACCGACGAAGAAACTCCCGAAGATCTCAGGAAAGACGAAGATTCACTCAAAAGGCTCCATCAAAGTATTTCACAAATTGACAGAGGCAAGCTGGATGAGGATCAGCGCAACGAGTTTTGTCTTCTGCTTGAACGCATTAGCCGGACCCTTGCTCTTTTAAAGGTAAGTACTGCAGAGTGTAAATTTTTTGTATACGTGACGTATTATTCTTTAGTTTTATCTATCCCCCCTTTTCTGCTGTTGTTTCGTCAACCTTTCGTCTTACCTGCTACACTGGTATCTTGAAAAACGTGTTAGATCATCTTATGCAAAAGTGCGCAGACATTTTAACTGGATGTTTAATTGGACTTTGCTCATACGCATAGCACTCTGAAATAAATTTCGACCTGTATCAACCTTTATCTTTGCATGAGCTGCAACCCTGCAACCTCTACTGAGCAGTCGACCAGTTTTCATCATTTTCTTTGCATTTGCTGTTCATTCCGTCAACGAAAAGGAAACTCACGAACATTTGAATGAGATAACCTTATCTTTCCAATTTATAAAGCAATATTTTAGTGTGTCTGTCTGTTTGTCTGTTAGCCGGTTTGTGTGTTTGTGTCAGTCTGTCCGTCCATGAAACTGTATGATTACGATAAAGGTAGTGATATGGAAAGCCTAGCTATATTCTACAATTAGCTCTTATATATGAAGGAGTAACTTGGTGGGAAGGTTAATGGGGTAGAGTGAGTAATGCGGAGTGAAGTGAGTAATGTGGAATGAGTAGATACTTCAAAACTGTGATTTCGATCTGTGCTGGCATCGTGCTACGGACGTCTATACAAAAATTGGGGTGCTAACATCCATAGTTCAAGTTCAGTAACCTTCAAAGGCCGGAATCTAACTTATCTGAAAAGTCTCGAATTTTGTTTGACCCGTCATCAGCGCGAACTCGACCACTGTAGAGAAGTATGAAATTCTTAAGTTCCTTTTCACCATCAGATCGGTTTCTATACCAGCTGTTCATTGCGAGCGCTGTGAGCAAAAGAAATCGGCCTTCTCGAATCTGCGAATACGCGGCTTTGAAGATTTTGCTCAAGATTGTTTCTTGACTGAAACGTTGATTTGCTTAATTACTGTGGTATTTTTTAGCAACGTCGAAGTGACAAGGAAAAAGAGATTGCTCGACGCGAAGCCGATGAAGCCTTGAGAAATCTTATCACTCCAATATCAGTCCGCTTAGTTGAACTCGTCAATGAAGCTGATCGCTTATTAGAAGACAAAGAAGGAGTACCAACACAGTACAGACTGACTGCTGAAGAAATCATCAATGAATGTAAGAAAGCCGGTGAAATTCTCAGAGACGCACCTGCAACTCACCCTTCTGTGAACATGCTCGAAGCTGCACTCACATCTGCTGAAAGGGTGGTTCCTGTTTTGCATGAACGTGCGAACATTTGGGATATGTTCACGAGAGTCAGAGATGAAGCGACCAAAATGTTGGAGTCAGTAGATGCAAACCTTCCTCGATTACAACCGGGTGCTGCACTCCTATCCACATCAGAAGGAGAAGCACTACTGAACTACTTGAAAGTAATATCTATTCAATGTTCAACTTTCAATCTTTTTTTTTTACTAAAAACCACAAATAATTATTGTATTCTACCCGTTCTAGGACATGTATGGTGATATTGAACGACTGCGAACTGCTGAGAAGCAGTTGAATGAACTTGCAGTGCTTTTACGGCCACTTCTGCAAGTGCAACAGGAGATACGTTTCTTCACGGTCGACCAAGAAAATACGGAAAAACACTACGAGGTGATTTAGGTGTACATATCTCACTTTTCTCCAATATTAACCAGTTTTATTCATTTTGTAATATATTTTTCTGTCACATTTCTTCTTATAGGAGATTGCGGAGAGAGTTGCTGCAGAGCTTACTGCCGAAGCACAATTGAATCGCACTCTTGAGATTCTTACTTCCGAACTTAATCAATGTAGTGAAGAGTTAACATCTATCGATGGGCGAAAAGATCGTCTGGTAAGATTCATTTTTTTCACCAATAAATACCGCAGTCATCACTGTAAAAGCCTAGTTTTTCCCACAACCCTCAGAATACTCCACGAGGGGGAAAAATTTGAGATGGATTAATTCTTAAAAGCTAGCTAGGCCACAGCTCTTCCATATATCACAGTCACAGTAAGATTGCACAATTTTGCACTCTGTACTGTCGGAATAGTGTTCCTCCGCCAAGATTTGTTCATATCGGCTCTGTATGGCTGCTTTCATAGTCCGCCGGCCGGCCGGCGTGCGGGCGTGCGTGCCGGTGGAGGCAGTGCTAGGGGGGAGGAGGGAGGCAGACAGTGTAAGGCAAACAGTCCACGCCCCTTCGAAGGTTGTTTGTTTTCAAGGACTATGAAAGCAGCCTATCCGTTCAGCAAAAGCGAACAACATTCGTGGCAAAGTGCGTGTTTGCCTCTTAGTATTGGGCAAACCAAGTTGTTTCCTTAAATTGTGATCCACATGTGTGCATATTGTGGGATACGTAATGTGCCTGCAAACTGGCGGGAGCACGATGCATAATTGTTATCAAACTAATTTATAGTTATGCTTTTGCAGAGCCATGAATCGCTTCTCCAGGACATCGTAGCACATTTGGAGAATCAAAAAGTGATTGTCGAACGCAGCGCACAATGTCGACAGTACATAGAGAGCAACACAGCAATGAGCCTTAACCTTTTGACGCAACGTGCTCAAGAGCTTCTCGAAACACTTCGCCGAGCCCCACCACTTTACGAAACTGCGGCACCGGAGGAGTATGATGTCGATGCTGCTGCTGACGTACTTGCTGCACTTTATCCGGATACGCATCCCTACAGTGTACTCGCGGAACACGGATTCGAAGGTATTGGATCGGATACGGATTCAAAGAGTGAATTAGAATCGATCGGTGGATCGTCTTCCGGATTGCTCTCCCCCTTACCAGAGACAAGCACGGGCCTTGTGGCCCCATCACAATTCCATCGTCAGAGGTCGCGATGGAGACGGGTTTTACGCACAGCACTACCTCTTCAGGTTTGTTTAGAGTTGAAGTATAACTGTTAAATATGTAATTCACCATGTTTTCAGGCAATGCTGGTTCTGCTGTTGGGAGCAGCGTGTCTAGTTCCACACTGCGATGATGAGTATTGCTGTCAACTGTTGAACAATTTCGCAAGAAGCTTTGATCCTTCTCTCGAGTTTATTAATGGACCTCCGCCTTTCTAGTTAACGTGTAGATATATCACTATGGCCATTTTATTATGCTTTCGCTGATGAATATGGCAGTTACTTTCTCTTACAGAAGTAAAAACGTTCTCTTAGCGCAGTCTTGCGTGAAGTACATATGTGCAGTACGGTTCAAGGAGTAGCCAAGCAAAGTTTTCTTCTTAGGAGAGATGACGACGAAATGTATTTATTTCTCTATATATTTACAATTCTTCCTTCAAAAGTTAAACAGAAGTTAGTGCGTTTGCTCCTCGACTTCTTCGGTTTCATTCGTTTTGCCGTTCATCTGATAGTACATTGACACTATTCTCTTCCAGTCAATCACCGTTTCAATACTCCAGTCAGAACTTGCGCCCAATTCAGCACCATCTCTCATATCTGGAAGTATGATTAATTTCGAATATTAGGAGATGCTGAAGATTCAGAGCAGTTGGGGTGTGAAACTCTAGAAAGCTTCGCCAAGCGTTCCCCTCTAGTACTAACATCACTGCTGAACGTAACCATTTCAAACAAAGCATACGATTTTTTTTTCATTTCTGAAATAAACGGGAGAGGGAGTAGCACGAGCCAAGCCGGACAATTACTTTCGAAGGTATTCGTCACCTCTTGGTTCTATTCACCACCGGCCATTTTATTGTACTGCTACACTTGGGTGACATTACAATCTATCATAAGGAACGTTAACTGGTCCTCGAAGGTAAGGTGGTATAAGGGCTCAAGGATTTTATCGTTTGAATGCCACACCCCTTGTGCACGAGTTTCAACGCCTTTTCGAGGCTGCTCCACTCACAAGGGAACCATTAAGGAAGATCAAACAACTTGTCATGCCTGTGGCGACAGTAAGACAGTTTTAAACAGTATGGCTTGATGTAATTACTCTTTGCGAATGCGAAAGGAACCAGGGATTTTGCCTATAAGTACCTTCACATTTAAAGTAAAAGGATAAAGTTTTTGGTGTTAATCAATTCTGGCTAGGGGATGCACCCCCGCATTCGACTTTCGTTCAGGATCATAGTGGCGTAATGAAGGCGTATGCATCCTCTACAATTTCGCTATGGCCAGCCTATGCACAAACCAGTGCTTCTATCCTCCCAGACGAGTCTGGAACCAATTAAACAATTAACCGGGATGGAAGGCTTGGTTGGCTTAGGCGAATATCGATCCGGGGTTCGAACCACTGATCGTACGTGTGAGATACGCAAAATTATCAATTCGTATGCAATTATTGCTGTTTTCTTTTGCGAGCCAGTACTGATGGTCAGAGTCCACAAAGAAGTCTTCAACCCTAGTCCGATAATTTGCCATGCACGAGGGGTGGTTCGGCCTAATCTAGCCGGAGCATTTCGTTATAACAGCTACAATAACGGGTGTTTTCAATGGATATCACTATTAGGAATGTGTGAGTTGTACCAAAGATTGACGTTCACTTTTCATGTGATCTGGACCCGTTTCAGCAGTTGTTCTTGACACCCGTTTGAAAAAATTGAACTCCGAATTTTCTGGGACTTAATAAGATCCGCTCTGCCTTTTCACACTCCCAAGTGATTACTTGCTAGGGCGGAGTTGATTATTAACTACATCTACTCATCGAACGACCTTCAACTGAACACCGAAGCCGAAGACGCTGGGTCTGCGTCTAGTGGCTCAGCTGTTGCGGTCACCTCATATATACATGCCACAGTATAGCATTCGTTGAATAATGCCCACGGACTAAAATTCATTTTGCCCAATTCTTTGATTTTTTTATTTCGGGAAAACCATTAATCCCTTCATGGGAATGGAATTAGGCGTGATCCCATTCACTTATTGCAGACGTTTGCAATCAAAAGTATTAAGCGAATTCGATTTACCCGTTCCATCTTCTCTCATAGTAGGACTTGTCCTGCCTTGTTGTCCACCGCCCATTGAAAAAGCGTCAATGTTCTCTTCGAAGCGTAAGTCCTGTTGAGCTTTCTGAGTACACACCCGTACTGAAAATCAAAAAGTGGTTGATTAATAGAAACGAGGTTCGAACTGTACAATTTAGTCAGAATTTGACTCTCAAGAAGAACGGATCTTACAGCGATTCCGAAACGCCACTTTGAGAACTACGAAAAGTTTAGTGAGCATATTAATTGGTGATGGTGTAGCACTTCTTTTGTTCATCTGTCGAATTAGTATTGCGCGACCAAATTTCCATTCCTGCATAGGAAATATTGTAAACGGTGTGGTAGGAATTTCAAAGCGTATATTAACCAACCTTGTCGGATTGAGCTTGAATTCTTTGATATGTATCTGACATCATAGCAATCAGTAAGTTTATGAGCACCTTAATGGATATTATTGGCACATAAATTAGTGGAGTGCGTTAGAGTACCACTCTTTTTCGACTGCTTTACTTCAGGTGTGGTGGGTTAGGAACGAAATGGTCGCGTCGCGGTGAGAGGGCGTCGCGCGCGAAGGACTGTAGCGGGATGCAGCAGTAGGTAAGAAATAAAGGAACAAAAGCACTAATAGTAGAATTATGCATAAAATAATGATCGCATATAGATTGAACTGTATGAAGAACGCTAGAGTTGTAACAACGGCGAATGAGTGGTCTGCGACAGCCGCGTGCGGCAAATCGATTACCCGAAATCGTTCCTAACGCCCGTCTCCCCTTTACTTCAGACACTACTTGAACGGGGAAAATGTGAACCAATAAATCTAACAGAAATTTCAGGTGTATACATCTATACTTCTGGACATGCACATCTATGCTACTACTTTTCGGGGTCTGTGAGCCGAAACATCAAGCATGGCGTTTCTCTGTTTGCCCGCAATGAGGGATATAGATTGGTAGGTGCCATTGTTGCTATCTCGTCAAAACCGGGTCGTAGTGCTCTAGTGACATTCAGTATAATGTAGAGGCTGGGGTTTCAAAGATTCCGTAGCACTGCCAGTGGAGCACAACGATCCAGTTTCGGCGAAATACGACAAGAGCGACATGCAGCTTGTCACAAACTGTATCGTCTGTATCCAACTTGTCCTCGCGAACTCCGCATGTCTACTTTGAGCTGTCCGTTCTGGTCTTTGTGTCAATTGTTGGCTGAACATATCCAATATAGAATCACCCCATCTAAAGTTAGGCTTCCTGGCGCTCGTTTGTAGTCCAATGAGATCCAATTCGTCAGTCGGAAGGACCAGTTCTTCAAACATGCCACATGACCGGTCCGTTCTCGTTTACGCTTATATGTACAGCGTTGGTCAAAATTATGATTACATGGACATCGCATCCGAAAACGAACAGAACGCTAATAAAACAAATCAACTTCAGAAAAGTGTTTATCACTAATTTCT